ATCTCGGTTCTGATAAGAAAAACTTTTACTTTTTGAAGTACACATAACAGTCGAATTTAAATCCAAGGTTTTCAGAATTATTTTTGTCTCTTTTTACCCGATAAATTGGAAACTATTTCAACAACTGCTTCATGTATGTCCTTTTCATGTTGTTCTAAGTGTCTTAGTATTTGTCGAATACTTTTTGCTATATAGTCTCCATCGCAATTATTACACTTAATATTGTAAACTACATTCGAGATTTACGTTTGCTTGAATTTATCTTTGTTTGAAAAAATTGTTTAGTTTTGTTAGATGTTTAAAAGTTTTCTTTAATCTGACATGTGAAATGTTTTAAATTGAGATACCTTTTAGTTGTTGAGCATATTTATAACTCCATTTGTCAATGATGCTCATTTTCTGACAGAAAAACTAATTTAAACCAATTTTAACAGTTCAAATTGATTTAGATTAATTTGAAATTAAATCAGTCTACATAGTTTTTGATGACTAATATTAAATTGAATTAGTTTCTGTGTTAAAATCAGTTCCAATGACTACGAAAACCTTTAATTTCAAGTGATTTAAAATAAATTAGGACTAATTAATTTTTATTGAATAAATATTTAATCTAATTTCGTGCCTAATTTAGCTTTAATTTCTTCTATTGAATTTCTTCAAACTAGTTTATTTGAAACTAATAGAAACTAATTTTAATTGTTGAAATTAGTGCGAATCAGTTTTGATTTCAAAAAATTCATTTGAATAACTTTTCCTGTAATAAATTTGAATCGCTTTCGAAAATCAAAATTAGTTTGATTTTGTTTCAGAAGCCAGAACAGTTTGCATTGTTCGAAATGAATTAGTTTAAACAAATGTCAACCCTTTAAAGTGATGTGAATAGATTTTCAAGAACAAAATTGATGTAAATATACTCAAAGAAAATAATTATACACCACTGTGAACAAGTACATTAATTGGAATTAATTTAAATACTTTTTCTAAACAAATTGAATGGAAATAATTACTCAAATTCAATCACTTTCCTCTTTTCAAAAGTATAGAGCACACATGTTTTCCTCCTCGTTCTACAGCTAAATTTTGTCTCTACATATAGTATTATATGTACGGAATTCTTTTGTTCTGTCGAATTTCACAACCAAAGTTAAAGGGTCAATAGGGACAAAAATTGAAAGATGGTTGATTATGACGCTTTTGCTAATGAAACAAAAGCTCAAAAAGATGCTCGATGTAATGGCGAAGGTCTACAAACTACAGTGAACAATTACTATCAACAACAGAGAACTAAACCAACTGGATCTGGAACTTTCAAACGAATGGCAACGAATAATGGCGAGCCAATTAAACTCAGTGAAGACGAGCAAATGTATGACGACGGTGGAGGCGGGTGGAGCCAGGCACCTTCTCATAATTCTTTTAAAAGAACCAATAATCAAAACGAACGTGACGAGCGTCAATATCCAACTTCGAGAACATTTACAAGCTCACATCATGCTGGAGCACAGCAGTTGTCTTATCAATCACAACAACGTGCTTTTAACTCAAATTTAAACTTTCAACAGCAGTAGCAAAACGTTTCGAATGAAGCTCGATCTAACATCTCAAATCAAGCTCTAAACTATGCTGCAGACTATCACCACACACCCTTCAAGCTAGAATGTCAACCAAAGATCCACGACAAAAAGCTAGCTCTCACAATTATCAACGAACGCACTGGCTACATCAAGCAAGATTTTCGTAAAGAAAATCCTGGAGCAAGTGAAATTCTCTTCGACTCGTGGTGGATTGATTCAACACGAGACATACTAATTTCGATCAAAACAACTGAGCATTATGTCTACCTTTGTAAGAAAGAACGTTATCCAAAAAAGCTGAGCAACGTCGAAGTCAAACCTCATCCTCCACTGCAATCTTACCTCATCAACGAACTGCAATCTTAAAATTCGTTGACAACGACGTGCTTGACGAAGACATCCGTGATGACCTGAAGAACAAGTACAAAAGCCTGTTTAAACTTGAATCAACGCAGGGAAAGAGGTCTGAAAAAACGAGACATATTAAAATTGAAATAATGAACCGTGGTGCATATCAAAATATGACAAAAAATTTCTAGAGAAGCGACCCTCGAGATTTTTACATATTCGGAATCAGCGCGACGAGTTACGTTGTACGGCGCAAAAATCTCGTCGGGGTACCGACACTTTTTGG